CGCCCCTCTCAAACATGAGTTCAAACTACGTCACCACGTTCATACTTCATTGCACTGTTTAACCTCTAACTTAACTTCTGCACTTCAGTTAGAGTTATATGTTTTATTTTAGATCTTGCTTAAAATGTAATATAGTAAGTGAGCCAGGTGCGGTGGCACATACCTGTAATCCCATCACTCGGGAGGCTGAGGCAGGAGGGTCTCTGTGGGTTCAGAGCCAGACTGCACTACATAGTGAGTTCAGAGCCAGACTCAGCTACAGAGTGAGACCCTGCCTCAAAACACACAAAAAAAGTAATATAGCAAGTGAATAACTAACTCAAAGCGGAAGCAGGATACCCTCCGCTCTAAGACCCAACCACTCTGATTCAGGTGTTAGCAGCCAGGTGGCAGCCCACCAGGATTTGAGGGAGGCCAATATTAACTGTGAGTCTAAAACCTCTCTTCATGACAACTGTGGTTCAATTTCTAATGGACAACGTTTTGAACAGACATGGAAAACGGAACACACATCACTCCTGCCTGAACATGGACAGGTGCTCAGCCATCAGCCATCAGCAAGATACAAATGAAAGCCCCAGCCAAGCATGGGAGCGCACACCTGTAATTGTAGCACTTGGGAGGCTGAGGCAGGAGGAGGGCTTCAAGTTCAAGGCCAGCCCAAACTTCATAGAGAGAACCTGTCTCAAAAGTAAAACAAACAGGGCTGGGGATTTAGCTCAGTGGTCCCACCATCTGCCTCACAAGCGCAAGGACCCAAGTTCACTCCTTGGGAACAAAAACAACAAAAAATGTAAAACAAAGCCACAATGAGGGGCTACTGCACACCCATCAGATTGACCACAGTCACAACAGGTGCGGGTGCCTGGAACCCCACTCACTGCTGGGGGATGCAAAGTGGCCTGGCCGCTTTGGAAAGCGATTTGGCGGCATCTTCAAAGGTGACCCACCAGGCGTGTGGCACACACCTGCAGTCCCAGCACTCCGGCAGGAAGAGGGCAAGGCCGAGCCCAGCTTGAGCAGCTTGGCAACGTGGTGAGAGGGTCTCAACACGAAAAAGGGTGAAGGGTGGAACACAAGGTGAAGGTCCTGGGTTCAATCCCCAGTAGCACAACAAAAAGGTTGCCAAACACCCAGTGAGCTTGGTACCCACCCAAGAGAAGCAGACAAATTGGACCCAAAAAAGGGTGTGCAATATCATTCCGAGCAGTCACACTAGGGAGGAACCAGATCCCGACACCAGATCCTGCTCGGCAGGAAAAAGGGGTCCTGTGGCCCCAGCCTGGCCTTCGCACAGCTTCCCTCCGCCGAAGTCCAGACTGATCCCACATAAACAGGCCGAGCCAGACCTCAGGACCCTGAGGCAGGTTCCCTCCCCTCGGAATCCCAGAAGACAGACCCATCCACGGCGACAGGTGGCGGGCAGTGCCCTGCGCCAGGCGGGTGACACCAGAGTAGGCACCTGTGGCAGAGTATCACTGGTCGCATGATACTCCGCACACGTGCAGCTTGCTATACCTAAGTTGTGCTTCAACCAAGACCCTAAGTTTATTCTTGTGAAAACACCCTTACTCGGCTACAATCCTCTGTTCGTCTACCCAAGGGCTCTATCACCACTGCTGTGGCTTGCACTGTACCTCCAAATCTCCTATGCTGAAGTCCTGACCTCCAGGACCTCAGAGCCTGTGAAAGTAGGTCACTGCAGCCACTGTTAGTGAAGGCGGGGTGCTGGAGTAGGCCCAGACCTCAGAAAGCAGCCCCTCATAAAAGAGGACACAGAGGGCAGGGTCCCCCTGGAGGGACGCGGCCTCCGGGGCTGAGGGCGCAGAAACCGCTGTCATCAGAGGAGTGGCTTTCTGCAGCAGCCCCGGGGCACTGAAGCTCCACGCCTGTGCAGCTAGAGCGCCGTGCGCGGCAGCCGCTGCCCACGGACCGAATACTGAAAACTTCAAAGTGAACACGTGAACTAGGGGACATTATTAAATAAACCGAATTTTACATAGATCATATTTTATCCACAGTTGCATTTTAAATTTTGTTTACTCATTTATTTGTTCTACTGGGCCCTGAACCTGGGGCCTTCACATTGAGTTATATCCCCAGACCTTTTAATCTTAGTTTTTAAATTACTTTTATTTTTTATTTTAATGTAATACAAATAGATATTAATAAAGAAAATATAAAAACTTCTATGAAAAATTAAATTTCATAACTAGAGAGTAAAATCTTTAATATACTATGTATAATAATCTTAAAAGAATATATTTCAAATGCTGATCTTTCTCTCAACTGATCTCCATCCTGAAGAAGTTGTGTTGCTCGCACTCACTGCTCCAACATTTTTTCTCCAAAAACTTTTGTTTTTTAAATTAATTTTCATAGTACGATTTGTTTATTTATTTTTTATTTTTTAATTTTTTGGCACCAGGGATGGAATTTAGGACTCTGTGCTTGTGAGGCAGGCGGTGGCACCACTGAGCTAAACTGAGCGATCACCTTCACCGCAGGGAAGCCGGACCGGTACCTGCTGTCTCTTGACTCCTTCTTTCCCCAATCCCCTCCTCTACCTTCAACCCCTTCCCCCATTTATAAATGCTTTGTTTCCATTTTCTTCTTCTTCCTCTCCTCCATTTCCCCCTGTTTCTCCTCAATTCCTCCTCCTTTTTTTTTTTTCAGTACCAGGGATCAAACTCAGGACCTTGCACCAGGCATAGTGCCGCTCACTAAATCCCCAGCCCTTTGCCCTTTTCCCTTTCCTTCTATTCCCCCTCCTTGCTCCCTGGTTCCCTTCAGGGTGAACAATTTCTTCCTATTTTACATTATCTACTATACATTTTGGTCTTTTTTTGAGGTACTAGGGATCAAACTCAGGGCCTCAAGCTTGCAAGGCAGGCGTGGTGCCACTGAGCTAAATCTCCGGCCCCGTTTTGGTCTTTACTTACACATTGTTTCTCACACCAGAGAGACAATGCACTATTTACACATGTATCCAATTTATTTCACTTAAGAGTGAAGTCTCAAGGTGCCTCCATATACCTAGAAATGTCTCAAGTTTATCCTTTATGGCTGAGTAGTGCTCCATTGTATAAAAAGCCACATCTTTTTTATCCATTCATCAGTTAATGGGCATTTGAGCTGTTTCCAAGATTTAACTATTACAAACTGTGCCGCTACGAGCATAGGTGTGCATATATAGTTGTGGTGTGATGCTTTTAATTCTTTCAGGAAGGTGGGGGAATATAACTTTTGTTGTTGTTGTTTGTTTGTTTGTTTTTGGTACCGGGGATTGAACTCAGGTCCTTGCACTTGCAAGGCAAGCCACCGAACTGCTGAGCCTTATACATACATACATATATACATATATAGATGGGCTGAACCCCAACCCTTATTTTTATTTTGAAACAGAGTCTTTCCAAGTCATTAACTGACCCAGACTGGGCTCCAACCTGTGATCTTGTTTCCTCAACCTCCCAGGGTGCTGAGATTACAGGCATGTACTACTTAAAATTGTTTTAAATGTACCGCTGGACACAATGGCACACATTTGTAATCCTAGCTACTCAGGAGGCTGAAGCAAGAGGATGTCAAGTTCAGGTTCACCTTGAGCAATTTAGCAACATGCTGATTCAAAAAAGAAAAAAGGGGCTGGGGATTTAGCTCAGTGGTTCCACAGCCTGCTTTGCAAGCATAAGGTCCCAAGTTTGATCCCTGGTACCAAAAAAAAAAAAGTAAAAGAGAAAAGTCTGGAAATGTATCTCAGTGGTAGAGTATACCTGGATTCAACGCCCAGTACTGCAAACAACAACAACAACAACAAAAATTAAATGAGGAAGGGTTTTTTAAAAGAAGATTAAAAATGTGTTATAAGCCAGGCATGGTGGCACACACCTGCAATCCCAGCACTTGGGAGGCTGAGGTGGGAGTGCTACATAGTGAGTTCAAGGTCAGCAAGACCTTGACTAAAAAAAATGATGTGTTATGTACACGTACCAACTCCCTGCAAGGAAGGTGATCACTTTGTACTGCACATGTGCACTAATTAAAATGTTTTTATGCATTAAGTTTGGTACATTGTAGGTATACATGATGATCACATTTATCATGGGGAATTTGCACCTGTACAGGATGATTCCTGGTTCTTGTTTTTTTTCCCCCATTTCCCACTCCTCCCTTCCACTCCTCCACTCATCCCTGTTCAAAAGCTTTGTTTCCATTTCTTCCTTCTCTTCTCATTTTTCTTTCCCTCCCTTCCTTGCCCCCACCCCCTCCCCTAGTTCTCCTTACCCTTTGAATCATTTCTTCCTATTTCACAGTATCTATGGCACAGTTTAGTCCTCATTTACACTTTCAGATTCTCATACCACAGAAACAATTCTGTATTTATACATGTTTCCTATTTATTTCACTTAAGAGTATGGCATCAAGCTATAAATTTCTAAAAATTTTTTTTCAATTAAACTAAGCTGGGTGTGGTGATGTACGCTCAGGAGGTTGAGGCAGGAGGATCACCAGGAGTTAGAGGCCAGCTTGGACTGTACAGCAAAACCCACCAAATAAACACAAATTAAAGAAGCTCCAGATGGGAAAGAACACCCCCTCCAGAAACAAGAACAGACACAGCACCCATACAGGACGAGACAGGAGGCATCCCCTACACTGTGCAGGGAGCACAATCAGCGTGGGACCAGCTAAAGAGCTGCAGGTTTCCACACCGCAGCCAGGGAGATCTAAACCCACACCGGGCTGACCACACCGCCGGCTCTGGGTCTGCAGCCGGCCGCTTCCCCTTGGTCACCAGGCTCAGTTCCTTCTCATGCCTCCTCCGTCCGAACCTGTCCCTTGTCACATCCTCTGGCGCACTCCACCCAGACCACATGGGCTCCTTCCCCTTTCCAAATCCTCAGGCCTAACCCTAACCTTCCCTGCCTCCTCTCAGCCCAGGGCCTGGGTTCCCCAAAGACAGAAGACCCTTCAGCTCAGCACGTGTTCTGGGGGCTCACCTGCACCCCCTAGTTCCAAGCAGGTGCCCACAGCCCACACACGGATGGCAGAGGCCCGAGCGTTGCTGGAGATGGCATCGAGTCTGCTGCAGCTCCAGCAGAGGCAGCAGGGAGGGGCTGCGCAGTACTTAGGTGAGGCACGGATGCAGGGCGGGCCAGAAAGCCCCCCAAGAATCGGCCCAGCACTTGACGTGTTCAGCAGCCTGGAGCTTCCCACAGACCAAGCGAATGAAGCAGAAGCAACTCCCCATTGTGCCAGGCTGGGCCTCCAAGGGCAGCAGCAGAAGGACTGGCCGACCCAGGGTGGTGCCGGAGCAGCTCTCTCCACTGCTGGAAAAGAGAACCACGGGGCCCAGCCACTCAGAACCCAAGGGGCTGCTCCAGACCCCGTGACCTGCGGGGGTTCAGAAACAGGCGGCAGCCACGAGCACAGCTCTTCGAAAGTCTGGCGAGAGAAGTGGCAGAACATGGTGGCTTTCAGGCTGGCAAGAACTCCAGTGACGGGGGACATCCCAGGAGGAGCCACAGGAAATGAGCAAACGCCTGGAGAAGGCTGACGTCACAGACCTGGTGCTGCTGGGCCTCGGAGCAGAGCTGTGGACCTGGAAGGAAACATCACAGGAGGGAGGACTGGCCACCGGGCCACCCCTGGCCAGGCTCCTGCGGTCCTGACTCGGGCTCTGACACCTGGGTGAGTAGCCAAGGGCCCTGGGAACAGGCTCAGGTGCAGAGGCAAGACCCAGAGCCCTGGGATGGTCAGCGGGCCAGAATCAAGCCCTGCGCCTGGCCTGTCCACTGGGACCCAAGCTCCGGACTTCCAGCTCCAGTCCTTTGGCTGCTGGGAAGTTGGCCTGGAGGATTTCTTCGCTCTGCCAGGTGGGGAAAGAGAAGGAGAGGGGCCAGTTCCTTCCACTGTGGGCTCCAACGGGCCGCTTCTCAGACTGAAATCTGGCTCAACCCTCCTTTCAGCTTTAGACCGCTCAAGTTTAAAGGGCAGCTCAGTCCCACCTGGCAGGGTAGCTGTAGCGGCAGCATGGCAACATCTCCGAGCAGGAGCCAGGGTAAGCTGCCCCTCCCTCCCCCGGGACGCCCTCTAGGTGCCCGCCCTCCGTCCAGCACTGACAGCACCCACGGGCTCTGAGCTCTGCCTCCCTCTGAGTGGAAGCCGCTCTGCCCAGGACCGCATCTTGCACTCCTAACAAAACTACTCAGAAGCTGGGCATGCAGGCTGAGACAGAAGGATCACCACAAGTTCAAGTCCAGTGTGGACTACATAGTAAGTTCAAGGCCAGCATGAAATACGCAGTGAGACCTTGTCTCAAAAATAAACAGCCAGGCATGGTGGCGTACACCTGTGATCCCAGCACTTGGGAGGCTGAGGCAGGAGGATCGTCATGAGTTTGAGGCCAGCCTGAACTACACAGAGAGACCCTGTCTCAAAAATAAACAAACACTGTGATTTGAAACGCTAACTTCAAACACTTCCACTGAGACACAAAAGTGAAGAAGACGCACTGTGCTTGCTCTCAAACAATGGAACCTTTTTCTTTTCTAACTTTTTATCTTGGAAATGCCCTCCAAGTTATAGTACACTGTAAGGAGAACTCAGAGAACTTCTGCTTCTTACCCAGACACACATTTCAAACACTCTGCTGCCTTCACCTGGTTGCAGCGGTGCATTGGGGTCGCTAATCCACACTCACAGCTTGGAAATTAGAGAAGCCACCACAGGCCAGAGCTGCTCTGGCCGGGGAGTGGCGAGCCTGGGCCTGCCCCAGGGCCCCACAGCACCGACACCCGTGTCCAGGAGTCCCCATGACCAGTCCTGCAGCACAGAGCACAGGGCACAGGCCTCTCTCGTCCCACAGGGACAGGCGCTGCACGGACAAGTAACAGCCGCCAGGCAGGAGCCATGCAGACAGCCTGGCAGAGGACGGGCACGGACAAACCCTCTCTCCACACCCCTGGCCACCTCCGGTTCAGAAGCCTTCTGGTTTCCCAAGCCACGCAGGCACCAAAGGATGAAGACTGATGGAGATCAGAGGCCTCAGAGGTCCCTGCACCTCCACAGCAGCAGCCCAGACACCTTTGCTTGTCCCTGCTTGAAGGGGAGTGCAGCACTAGCTTCGGGGAGGACAGGGGACTGAGCCCTGGTGTTCAGGGTGAGGGCAGCACCAGGGGTAGGGTCACCAAGTATGACCTCAGCGCAACTCGGAGAGATCTGTTTCAAATTTTTTTTTAAATTAAAAAGAACGGGGGATATAGCTCAGTGCAAAGGCCCTGGGATCAATTCACAGTATACAAAAAAGTTTTTGTGCATGGATGGATGAACAGTTTATAAGAAATGAATGAGTACAGAAGGGAAAGAGACAAAAACAGTGGGCAGGCCTACCAACAGCACCCAGGCTCCCCACTTCCATTACGAGGCATAGCAGCCAAAGGTATGCCCGCTCTCCCTCCACTCCCGCCAGCAGCGGCCCCGGAAGCACCTGGTGGTGTCCACACCGCTCGAAGGGACCCTTCACACACTTCCCAGCTGCAAATGCCCCACACCCCTGCAGGTGGCGGGGTGAACACGGGGGTCTGAGGGGACCCCTGGAGCCTTGGAAGTACCCCAGAAGAAAGACGAAGCTTCCTTTCCCAGCCCCTGTCAGGGAACCTGCCAAGCCCAGGGCTCCAACTTTGAAAGCGAGAGGAAATTCCTCAGAGGGCCGTGGGCAGCTCTGGCAGGATACAATCGTCACTTCATGTCTAGTGAAGTATTTCCGGGAGCCCCTGTGCCCAAGGCCACAGTAGGCACATAAGCCAGCCAGGAAATGGGGCTGTGCAAAAAGGGGCCGCTGTGCAGGCCGGACCCGAGTGTGCCCAGGATACCTGTCCTGGTCTGCAGACCTGAACCCGCCGGCTGGACAGGGACCAGGACCTGTGCGTCCCAGGGCCAGGGTCTGGGCGACCATGCCTTCACGTTCTGGCCACACCTGAGATCAGAGGACAGTGGGTGAGCCACAAGTATAAGCAAAGCCATTCTCCTCCCAGCTCTACCAAATGTCAGAGCCTGCTGTAGGAGGCCAGCACTGCGGGGTGCAGCTCCACACCCCAAAGTACACACTTGGCTCACCAACTCTGCTTTTCTGGGGATCCAGCACTTTCTTTTCTTTTCCTGCCTTTTTTTTTTTTTTTCCAGAGTGTTTGCTATAGATAAAGATGATTTATCTGTGGGAAAAAAAAGAAAGCTGGTTGTGGTGGAACATACCTATAATCACTGTACTCTGGGAGGCTGAGGCAGGAAAGTCACAAGTTTGAGCCCAGCCTAGCCAACTTAGTGAGATCCTGTCTCAAAATTAAAAATTAAAAAAGGAAAAAGACTGAGATGTAGCTCATTGCCACAGCCCTGGGTTCAATCCCCAGTACTGAAAAATATAGATACAAATAAATAAATAAAATTTAAAGGGGTGAGAGTGTAGTTCAGTGTAAAGACCCTGGGTTCAGTCCCCACCACCAAAAAGAATAGTGATGACAGCAATAATTCAAGAATAGAAACATACATGTGTATAACTATGTATTACTGTACAAGCCTACGTACTTGAAGGTAGAATTAAATACGTGGAATTAGTTTTTAAAATATCCAACAGATGCCGCCTGCCTCACAAGCACAAGGTCCCCAGTTTATCTCAGCGGTGTCACTGCCTGCCTCACAAGCATAAGGTCCAGAGTTTCATCCATAGTACCAAAAAAAAACCAATCAAACAAAAAAATATCCAACAGGACCAGGGATATAGCTCAGCGGTACAGCACCTGGCTGGCAAGTGCGGGGCCCTGAGTCCAATTCCTGGTACTGGAAAAAAAAATTAAATACCCAACAAAAAAATTAAGGAAATAATGGAAATAAGAGCAGACTGTCAGGAATTACTGCAGCTAGTGAAGAGGTCATTTTCTCTAATTTTGTGTATATTTCAAAACTTCCAAAATAAACTTTTAAAAATAATGTTATCACCGGTGTGGCAACACAAGCCTGTAATCACAGCCGCTTTGGAGGCTGAGGAAGGAGGATCGAATTTTTGCTAGCCTGGGCAGTGCAGCAAGACTGCCTCCAAAAGGGGAAGGCCTGCAGTATAGCTCAGCATTAAAGCACATGAAGCATACGTCCCCCGCAAAATAAGATATTTTAAAAGGGGCCACAGGTCTCACCTCCTGCCCAGGAAAGAGAAACAGCCGAGATCCCAGGTCTGACTTGGGAGACAGATGTGCTCAGGTACCCTGAAGAGGGGTCCCACACCCTGCTTGAGATTGGGAAGTGCACAGAGCTGTGCCCAGCTGTCCATCCAAATGCTCTCGCCCCGAGCTCTGCTCACCCGGTCGAGTGCTCAGTCCTCACCCCTCCTGCCCGTTGCCTGCTGCATCTCTCTCCAGAGCAGGCCCTGTCACCAGGAGACACCCCGGGAGTCCCGGCCTGTGTAGTGTGCTTGTACTCTAAGGCAAGGCTCCATCCCGTGTCCCTCTCAGTGCGTCCTGAGCTGTGCATGTCTGTGGCACACATTAGTTCACATGTTGGTTACCTGCCACCTCTGCTGGGAAGAGCACCACGCAGGACACAACAGCAGGACAGGGGACGACAGCAGTGCTCAGAGGACGACCATGGTTGGCATTGGCCATACCTGCGAGATGGCTGTAAAACCCTTTAAGGGACCGGGACTGTGCCCTGCTGCGCTTCCCCAGGGACCAGAGGTTTGCTGACCTCTGAGGAAACAGGACACTGAGCACCTGCGGCATCTGGCTGGCCGTCCTCGCCCACAGGGAAGCGGTGCGTCTTGGCCCCACCACTCCAGCACAGGCAGGTGGCACATCTCCATCTGGAAATCCTGGGTGCTACTCCATGGCAGGAACCCGCCTCTATCATGGGGCCACACAGTTGGAGCCTCCTACCGTCCCTCACACCAGGGTCTCTGGCAAGGTTTTTTTCCTTTTTATTTCTAGTTTTGTTTTGTTTTAAGACAGGATCTTGCTATGCTGTTCAAGATGCCCTTGAACTCACTCTGTAGCCCAGGCTGGTCTCAAACTCGCAGCTCCCCTCCTGCCTCAGTCTCCTGAGTGCTGGGATTACAGGCGTGCACTACTACACTTGGCTGGCAATTTCTACCACACCAAATAAATCAAAAATAGCAGCAGTGATCAACAGGCCAGACCAGAAGAGGAAAAGTAAAGGAACTCAGAAGACTACTTTCCTGTCTCCCAGAATGTTCACATCACTCAAAGACAGCAACTGTGAAAATGACCAAAACGAATAGCAAAAGCAGTGTCACCTTCTACTACCAAACAACATAAAAATATGAAAATAAACAGGAAAAGTTAAAATGAACTCAACATTAAAAAGCCCTTTCTGGGCCAGGGATTTAGCTTAGTGGTGGTTCTGCTGCCAGCCTCACAAGCGCAAGATCCCGAGTTCAATTCCCAGTACAAAACAAAACTTCCTTCAGCTACCTGGTGGGCTGGTCCTGGGATACACATTTTATACACGTTTCACTACCCCATAGACAGCTGTGTCTGCTAACAATTTATCAGAAGTTCTTTAAAACACCCTGAATTTAAAGAGCAAAAGTCTTTATACAATGCAATGAATTCATATGTTTCTACATCAACATAAACAACAGGAAATAAAAATCAAGTGGAAGGGGGCTGGGGATTTAGCTCAGTGGTTCCAGCACCTGCCTCGCAAGCACAAGGACCCGAGTTCGATCCCCGGTACCAAAAAATAAAAAAAAAAATCAAGTGGAAAAACATGCAAATTTCCTACTTATTACCTAGATGCTTAAGAATAACCAACAAAATAAAAATGATAATATAAAATACCCAGGAGCACTTTTAATAATATAATGCCAAACATAAACACTCCAGTGCAAAGAGTAACATTAACCTAAAATGTTTCATTTGCTTCTGGACAAGAGCATTAGTATTGTTTAATAAGTGCCCTTGCAATTTTAATTCCTCAAAACACCAAAAATAGAAATTTCATTTACCCTAGCTTTTCCCCTTCTAAGTATCTTCCTCAAAGAGTTAAAGACACATTACAGTGACATACAAACCTGTGCATATAGCCGCACAGCCCACAGTAGTTAAATCTCAGCCAGGCGTGGTGACGCATGCCTGTAATCCCAGCCAGCACTCGGGAGGCTGAGGCAGGAGGATCGCTGTGAGTTCGAGACCAGCCTGGGCTACATAGTGAGTTCCAGGTCAGTCTCAACTACA